TATTAGTTGTTATTGGCTTTGAACTAGCTGTGAGTAACTGTGAGTACTCTCAGATCTCTACTTAGTGTCTTTTTGCTGTGGGGATGTATAAGTACACTGCCACGTCCACTCTGTGTTTTTGTTAGAAGTTTTTGTGCTTTGTATCGGTCTGATGAGTTAAGCCCTTTTCAGCTGATTTGTTTAGTTTGTTCTTATTATGAACTGTTATACCACTGTCCCAGGTTAGGGAAGGGTTGTTGCGCCTTCAAACTAGTTAACCTGCCACATTCTGTATGTGCCTGTCCGAATAGTTGAAATATTCTCCACTTTGTTGACCATGCATTTGTTTGACTTCTTAATATTTTTAAACTTCATTATGCTTAGACAGAATACTTTGGGATAAATATATATGTATATGGACCTTTCAAGTCTTAAATAAACATTATTTTATACAATGAAAGTTCCAACTATGTACTGGCTTCCATAGCTGCACAAAACACCTTACAAATATAGATTTATTTCGTCTTCAAGCCATTGTTCCACTACTAAACTGTCTTTTCTACGTACTAGTACACTTGGTACAATCAAAATAATAAATTGTTCAAAAAAGGCCTTTGAAAATAGTGGAACTAATTACTTTTAGAGTGTCAAAAATTCGTTTGAAGAACTTGATAAAAGAGGGACGAATGATACCAGAGGGACAGTAAAACTCACAGATCGAAAACAAACTGACAACGCCATGGCCAAAAATAAAAAGACAAACAGACAAATAATAGTACAGATGACACAACATAGAAAACTAAAGACTAAGCAACACGAACCCCACCAAAAACTGGGGGTGATCTCAGGTGCTCCGGAAGGGTAAGCAGATCCTGCTCCACATGTGGCACCCGTCGTGTTGCTTATGTTATTACAAATCCGGTAAATAGTATAATTCGGTAGGTCATTGCATGCTTATATTGGTGATTTTGAATTCGTTCAAAGTTTTGATTTTTCTACCTTTTATACCACTTTGCCTCATAATCTAATTAAGAAACAAATCACACACCTAATTAAATGGGCATTTAAAAAGTCAGTATGCGAATATATATGTTCAACTCTTTTAGGCCTTTTTTTAGTAACAATAAACAAAAGAACTATGTCAATTGGACCTGCTTTGATACGATTACTGCCCTTGAATTTTTACTAGATAACATTTTTGTTCGCTTTGAAGATTCCGTTTATCGTCAAGTTATCGGAATTCCAATGGGGACTAACTATGCACCACTTATTGCAGACCTTTTTTTGTATTGTTATGAGTTACAATTCATGACTAAAATCAGCAAAGACCCATCGAAACAACATCTGATACATAAATTTAATAACACTTTTATATATTTGGATGATATATTGGCTTTCAATAATGAAGACTTCAGTATGTACACTAAAGATATTTATCCTGCTGAACTGACTTTAAATAAAGCTAATACTAACAATGAACACTGCCCGTTCCTGGATCTTGATATCTATATCTTCAACGGGAAGCTTTATACCAAAATTTATGATAAAAGAGATGATTTTTCATTTCCTATTGTTAATTATTCAATTTTAGATGGTGACGTTCCTTTGTCACCATCTTATGGTGTTTATATATCTGAACTTGTTCGATTCGCTCGTTTATGTAACAACGTATTTGATTGTAACGATAGAAATCTCTGTATTACTGAAAAATTATTACACCAGGGTTTTCGATATCACAAACTAGTCAAAACATTTACTAAATTTTATCATCGGTACACGGACATCATTCGTAAATATAATTTAAATCAACATGCAGACATCTTAAACGTTCAGGTATTTCACATCCAATTTTTTATGGTAATATTCTATACAAAGCACAAATATGTCGACATTCACCTCAAAAGCTAACCAAACCTTCAAACAGACTTATGCAGAAGGGATATAGTTACGATTCTGTTGTCAGGTCATTAATGATGGCATATTTTGGTATTAATATTGATTCACTCATAGGGTCTTTGCATCGGAAATAAACACATTTGTTCTAAAACCAGTTGTTGGCATGATACGGGAGGTATTGTGCTTGATCTTGATATGATGAAGACATAATCTTTCTATCAGTTTAATTAAGGTCTGATGCTGGCCATTGTTAATTTATGTATTATTGTCATTTTGCTTAGTTTCTTTTGTTACCTATTCTGACATCGGACTCGGACTTCTTTTAAACTGAGTTTTACTGTGCTTATTGCTGTGTGTTTGTTTTTTCTACATTGGCTAGAGGTATAGGGGGAGGGTCGAGATCTCAAAAAAACATGTTTAACCCCGCCGCATTTTTGCGCCTGTCCCAAGTCAGGAGCCTCTGGCCTTTGTTATTCTTTTTTTAATTTTAGTTCATTTATATGTTTTGGAGTTGAGTGTGACGTCCATTTTCATTGAACTAGTACACTTTTTTTGTTTAGGGGCCAGCTGAAGCCCGCCTCCGGGTGCGAGATTTTCTCGCTGTGTTGAATACCCATTGGTGGCCTTCGGCTGCTTTCTGCTCAATGTTTAGGTTGTTGTCTCTTTGAAATATTCCCAGTTTCCATTTTCAATTTTATTATCTTGTCTGTTTTTTTTCATCCCAAATTGTTGTCAATAAAATGAAATTCAATATGACTGTCATACAAGTGAGAGGTTTAGCTAGCAATAAACCAGGTTTAATACACCATTTTCTACGTAAGGAAATGTCTGTTCAAAGTCAGGAATATGACAGTTGTTTTCCATTCGTTGATGTGTTTGAGCTTTTAATTTTCCCATTTGATAAGGGACTTTCCTTTTTGAATTTTCCATGGCTATTTTACTTTTTATCTTGTTGACATGACAGTTGTCTTGTTTTGATTTGTTCTTTTATTGTTATTCTACTGGTGATATTAAGGAGCTTAGTGGGAATCCAACAAGAAATGTTAAAGGCTGCTACGAATGTCAATATCAAGTTGACCTGCTGCAGAATTATGCATGGCATATTTGGTAAAACAAATTTGGCTATTGACCGTGACACAATTGTTTTGAAAATTATACATTTTTTCATCATTAAAGACTGTGCTTAAGAGTTAGTTTAACATATTGCATTCGCGCAAAGGAAAAAGAAAAAGGATCAGACACAAGTAAAACAAAATTATAAGGTCATATCCACAATACAATATATATATATCAATATGAGTTGAATGTGATTATTCATTCTTTGATATCAACAACATAAATATTTCTAAACTATACTGAACAAAAGAACGACAGAGATGATGATGATGATGATGGTGTGCGTTTTAAGTATATTGATATTATACCACGAGAAATCGTTTGCTCTCTTTATAAAATTAAGACTGGTTTGATAAATTTGCGGATTTTGATCGGAGGAAAGAGTTTTTTCTAACAAAACCAATAGTTTTGTGTCCAAATTGCAGCCTTCGGGAAGCCAGCTGAGACCATTAAACACTAATCTTTCTTTTTAAGTTCGTTCATTTAAATCGAAAGAACAACCAAAGAAAAAATGGCGCATGTCCTCAATATCAAATCCACATCTACATGTTGGAATAGATATAATGATAACTCTAAATATTTCACAATTCAAAAAAAAGGTGTCGACATCTAAATTGGCTTTAGATTATATTCAATTTTCTACAACCATATAAATAAACATGGCGAAAAAGGTGAAATAACAAAAATACCGAACTCCAATGAAAACTCAAAAGGGAAAGTTCCTTATCAAATGGCAAAATCAAAAGCTCAAACACATGAAACTAAGGGAAAACAACTGTCATATTCCTGACTTGGGAGAGGCATTTTCTTATGTAGAAAATGGTGGATTAAACCTGGTTTAATAGCTAGCTAAACCTTTCACTTATATGACAGTCGCATAGAATTCCTCTTTATTGAGCAAAACAAACAGATGGATTCTCATTTAGAATGTCGCGTTTTTTAATGATATTTTGATAATGACATTTCGAACTGACATGTTCAGATTAATCCAACGTTTCATTGTTGAGGTAATAAATGACTGGGAAGTCAGCGTCAGCCTGCAAAAAGGTAATATGACACTTTGTCCATTTCACAAGGGAAATTGTGTCGTACTTTGAGACTTAGGGGGCATTATTGTTTTGATTTTAATAAAAAGAGTTTTACTCACGAGTCCGAACTGTAACTAATGTCTATACTTGGGACAGTGTGATTCTTCAAATCTTTATTAGACCTTCCACATTTGACGTTGCTATAAATCACAAGCCAGAAGTGTTTGTATAGGAGAGTAAACATTCAGTTAGAAAATGGAGGTTTATATTTGTCGTCATATTTTTCGTCGGCAAAACATCCGTTTAAACGAAATTCACAAGAAGGATGTTCTATTCAGAATAGTTTTTCAAGTGTGATAATAGTCTTCCGTTGGTGTTTTTTTTAGCAATTTAAACTTACTAGTTTACCTGTGAGAGACATACCAATTAAAAACTTATAATATGTACATTTACACAACCCTTTTAATAGAACCGATTGACGAGTGAGCGATTATTTCATTATACATGTTATATGCATAACACTTTTGTAACTGCATGTTTACTCTCCTATACAAACACTTCTGCCTTGTGATTTATAACAGTCACGAAAAAGGCGTTGCTATCGAACACTTGGTTCCAAAAGTGATGGAATATACATGTACGTGGAAAGAGCTCAAGTTTGGGAAAATGTGTGATGCAAAAGTTTAGGGTTTTTTTTATCAAAAAAAGTAGAAATCTATTTAAGGATCTGGTACAAAATATTGGATGTCTGTTATTTGTCTCCGATAAACATTCGAAAACCTGGGAACTTATATATCTAATGGTCCCGGTCAAAACATATTTTAATAGTGTATAATATTTAATTGGTTTCGTTTTTAACTATGGTGTTGGATTTGAGATGATTGAGCCTTTTCAATTCCTTCAACTTCTTTTGATATCTTTTGACATATGGGCTATATTAGAGAATAAGTGACGAAAATAAAAATTAATGATATGACTTACCTGAAAAAGGAATAAAACAACCCCAAAATGATTATTTCCTCACATTTAACTGAAAAAATATTAAGTGTTTTTCTTACATGTCGATGTCCATTTGAGAAACGTTAAATGTTTTTGTATAATGCATTCTGCTTTTTTACAGGTAATTTAAATTCTTTGAAAGGTGATTAAAAAAAATCTTTTGATTTATGATCTTTATTTCGATATTTAATTGTCACAAACTGCGTTGTTGTGTTCATATGTGATACTTCTTATCAAAACAGGTTTTTATTATGTATATGTTTAAATGGTAATTCGATCGTTATCTTAGGTTAGAAATATGATTCATAATTTATCGGTGGGTTTTAAATTTTGAAAGACAAACAATCATTTTGTACATGTCTTTTAAATGAACTTATCATTATTTAAGCACTTAAATATGTGTCATCCTTGTGGATTACAATTAAAGATCGGCGCCTCTGCTGGTATACTGCCAAAGCCAAAGCATAGCAGATTAAGGGATTGCGCTCCGTAATGGGTCTACATATATGGTTAAGCATAAACTTTTTTAAATGTCCCACTCATAACGTTGACTTGGTGGGTCGTTTTTTTCAACATCGTGGATCTGCAACTATTAGCATCCAAGTTTACCAGTGTTTCGGTATTGTCAAGATCTTTAAGGATACAATTTGTAAAATATCGTAGTAACATAACAATTTCAAGTGTTTATTTCAGCTAAACTTTTCGATAACTGCAAACAAATCAATTATATGTTGTTTCTTTCGGTCCAGTAAGGGACATTTGAAATGATTTTTGATTACGTTCCAAAATTTGTACATATTTTCTCATAAAAATATCAATAGCAGTATAAGTTTAATCTTTCTACAAAGGTACGGAGTGCTTTGCAGTATCAAAATTACAGATGTCCGCTGCTAAGGTTCAAGAACCACCCCAATCAATGCATATATTGTCATTCACATATATAACTCAACTAACTGTTATGTCATCTCCGTGAATTGCCACGACATTGATATATTTGACTTTAAAAAAGCGATCAGCTGTATATGTACGATTTCCTATCCATCTATCATATCGATCAATAAGCATATTTCTATCCCGAAAGTCAAACAGAACGAGCCTGATATGTCACGGGTTCCTTTTTTGGTTTTTAATTCTTCTGCATTTAAGTTATGTCGTCATGTATTCATGCAAGCTTAAATTGTTACTAACATGTAAAACATCTAGCTCATTGCACCGGTAAAGTATAAAACATTGTTAATATTCATGATCAATAAACATGTTCTCGACTGTGTATGCAGGTAATATTTGTCACTGGACGTTAACTTAAAACATATACATGAACATGACTAATGTAATACAATGTAATGTGATGATAAAACCTACCTTTGTCAGAACCATATTTGGAAAATATATATTCCGACAATAAATCAACCCGGCCACCAAACACCTTCTCTGCTTCTTTTGAACGTGTAAATAAACGTCGAAGAACGTGTTTGTCTAAATATTGTTCATTTCCGCCGCAAAACTAATAATTTTCCTTCCCTTCAGCAAGGGATTTTTTATTTCTGTTACCACTGTGCTGTTAAAGACTGGTTTTCCTTTACAAAATAAAACCTGTCAATTGAGTCCATCATCTCCACCAAACTGTGACATCTCTGTATGTAAAGGCTGCGGTTGTATTCTTTTGAAAGTGTAAATAAAGCCCAAGAACGTGTTTGTCTAAATATTGTTCATTTCCGCCGCAAAACTAATTATTTTCCTTCCCTTCAGCAAGGGATTATTTATTTCTGTTACCACTGTGCTGTTGAAGACTGGTTTTCCTTCACAGAATAAAAAGCTGTCAATTCAATCCATCATCTCCACCAAACTGTGACATCTCTGTATGTAAAGGCTGCGGTTGTATTCTTTGACATTGATGTCTGTGAAACTTTCTTGGTCCCTATAATAAGTGTTGTTTATACCATTTTTTTCCTCCCAACATTTTACATAAAAGGAAACGTTCTCACCTCTAGCTTGTTTAACCTGCAGAGTTGACATAAATCTGTCACCTTCATGACGTGTTATGATACCGTAGATAGTTGTAAATTTGCTGTTTCTGTAACCCTGTTGTTTTGACGGCTTCTAACTGAATGAAAATTCCATCCTTTTCTTTTATCTTTTCTACAAAATGATCAATTACCTTATGGCATGTGTTACTTTGTCATCCTGGGTGCGCATACAGCAACTAAAAATAGGTTAATTCAGTAGTGTCAAAATGCAATGCTCCCTACAGAAACTAAGGTATTTGGTCCACATAATGAACTAGAAAGAACCAAACTGCTGTAGCAGTTGGTTGGTGTTTGGAAACGAAAAGAAACAACGCCATATCAAAAAGTAAAAAAACAAAAATACCGAACTCCAAGGAAAATCCTTTTTCAAATGGCAAAATCAAAAGCTCAAACACATCAAACGAATAGAAAACAGCTGTCATATTCCTGACTTGGTGCAGGCATTTCCTTATGTAGAAAATGGTGAATTTAACCCGGTTTTATTGCTAGCTAAACCTCTCACTTGTATGACGGTCGCATAAAATTCCAATACATTGACAACAATGAGTGAACAAAACAAACAGAAATAATAGGTAAAAATGTCAAAAATAGGGGTACAACAATCAACATTGTGCTATAATCTTAATCATTATAAAAATAAACAAATATCTCTACAAAGAAATACGAAATTGCATCAGACAAAGCACACAAACAAAAATGAAAGACAATAATTTTAAAAAATGACCACAGCACAACAACACATTGGCGGGATGCATAAGTACCGAGCCACGCGAAAAGAATATTTCCATAAATAGACTAAACAGTAGAGGTTAATAATTTACAAAGACAAATAAAAGAACATTATAACACGTAATGAAGATGATAAACAACATCAGTACCTAGAACCTATACTTCAAGACCATCATGTATATATTATTTGTGAAGGTGATATGGAATATTTATCGACAAGGTCTTGGTATCTTCCGATGAACTTTTTTAGAAAAAGGACGAGACGTTATTTGATATAACACAGGTTCATCAACTTTTTGCTCAGAACTGATGACGTTTTATAAAGTCTGAGTAGAAGCTGCAATCTCTTGAATACCGAATGAGCAGGGAAATGTAAATCCCATATGCAGGTGAAGTCTGTATATTGCAACTTAGGTGGGGGAAATTGATAATTCCAAAATTAAAATCGTCTCGTTTGTCATAGGATCTGGTATTGAGATGACTGCTTCTGTCGAATTCGAGGTATAAGTCTAAAAATGAGGCGGATGAAGCCGTATCTGTTGTTACTTTAATTTTTTGTTCTGGAGGATATATTAAAGGAACCCAGTCAGAAACGTTTGGATTGTTAATGGAAAGAACATCATCAATATATCTGAGTGTGATATTAAATGATCTTCCTTCTTTGATCTTCTTGTTTTTGACAAGTATCTGAAAGAACTCCGACTCATATGAAAATGAAAAGAGGTCGGTAAGGAGAGGCGCACAATTTGTTCCCATAGAAATTCCGACAATTTGTTGAAAAAGTTTACCTCCAAATTCAACAAATATGTTGCCAATAAGAAACTCCATCATACTGATCACTTGTTCCTCTGTGTGGCATGTTTTACCTTTTTGTTCACTATTAACAAAATATTGCCGAATGGTATCCAAAAGTAATAAATTTATAGCGTATGCTACCATTTTTATATTGAAAAGCATTGTTGGTTATTTCTTTTAGACTATTTTTCAATTTCACATGGGGAATGGTGGTATACAGGGTTGAAAAATTAAAGGATTTGATAGAATTAATTTCAGAGAAAGATCGAGATTTAATATTATCCAGAATTTTTTAGAATCCACATATTGTTAATACGACTACGCGAGTAAACAGTTTCACAGTATTTCTGAAGACCCTCTATCACAGCGGACAGAATTTTTGTCAATCTAATGGACAATTCTTTTGTAGAACATGTAGATGAGCCGGTAATGTACAGTTGTGTGTATGGAATTTTGTGAAGAATAGGTATCCAATACAAACAAGGTAAGTCTTCAGATTTGCTGTTCAATGTAATGTCCATTGAAGCCATGAAGGACTTATGATTCGCCAAAATCTCATCCTTGTCAAATGATATGTTTTTGTATGTGAGATTACCTGAGTGCTCATTTATTCCGAATTCTTTTTCAAGACACTCGTAGTAGTACGATTTACATACAAAGACAATATTGTTAAAGGAATTGTTCGCAGGAACAATAACATATTTATCGTGAAGAGATGATAGACATTTCACAGCTTCTCTGTCTCTGAAAACGGTTTTTTAAGGTATTTTTCCAAATCAAGGTCCTGCAATGCATGCTTATAGTTAAATACTTTAGATGCAATGGTTTTGGTGTAACTGAAGGATACAATAAAAACAGACTGATTTTAAAAATAAAGTGGAATTTTATATTTTAGAATCAAAAACGTCTTTCCATGGAATTATAACACTAAAAACTGGAATATATAACTTAATATTTTTTAAGCTGGTGCCATGTTCTCCCCATTAACCCTGCTACTGCCAGATTGAAATTTTAAACGATGTAACGTACACCACAATTGTTTGACGTCCGACAATTTTTGACTTATGTACAGGATTGAGATATCTATTCTAATCATTATATACTGCAGAACTTATAGTATGTACAGATGTCAAAATGTATGTTTTATAAAGATAAGGGTGATTTATATGAGTCATCAATAAATCTATTATGATCATTGTATACTGCAAAACAGATGTCAAAATACACATGATATATGTATTATATAGATGATGGTGATGCATATGAATTTCTCGTTGTGATAAATTCCGATATTCTCAACTGTGTTATACGACAAGAAAAAACTTAAAATATGCATTGTATGCCTAATACTGTCAAAAATTATTATTTTCTGCAAAGATTTGCGGAAAATCGTATCCCATTTCACCGATCATGCGCTCCCAACAGATCAGTAATAAGGAGAAATAAAAATCACAAATAACATTAAAGGTGGCAACAAATGTCTCTTCAGTGATGCTCGAGGCCAAAATATTTGAAAATACATAGCTTATTAAAAATATAAAGAGCTAATGACCCAAAAAATACAAAAACGTTATAATCAAAATCGAACAAGGAATCAGAGCTTTGCGTGATTGGGATATATTCCTTAATTTAAACTAATTTCCGAAATTTTGTA